GTACTTTGGAGAAGAATTTTGTTATTTATAAAGATAATTGGGATATTTATGAGAATTTTTTCAAATTTTGAACATAGTTGAATTTTATAAGAAGAATTTTATTTTTTTTGGAAATAATTGAATTTCTGCAAATATATGTAATTTATTCTCCAAAATTGAATTTTTTTAGTGTTTTCAACAAAAAGGTAAATTCTATTGTTTTTAAAATTGCTAATTATATATATTTAAAAAAGGCAGGAAGAAGTTATCCGCGCGATTTGTTGCTACTGTCGTTTTAAAGAATTTGATCATAATTTTTTAGAAAATTTTTTTGATTTCTAGTATTAGGGAATTTAAAGTAGTGAAAATTTAAAAAAAAAATTAAAATCCCCCACACCATATTCTCAACTCACAAGAATAAAAAAAACATTTTTAAAAATTAAGTCCACATCGAAGAATTTAGTTTCTTCTACCTTCGAGGTCCATTCATGGAATACTATCAACAAGACAATTCTATGATTTATATTTATGAGCATGCTCGCTATTTAATAGCTCCGCGTAACATTGCACTTCTGCGGCTCACCAAGAGAATCGACCACGCGGTGCTGTTAAAAAGTTGATCATAAACTCGATACACCATGTGATGAACGATCCTGATCGATGTTTACGGTTGCGAGTGTTGCTCGTTTTCAACCCCTTGGGGCAAACTTTCATAAATGGGGTAGGAGAGGTGGGGCGCAATAAATGTACTAAATCATAAAAAATCAAGCCAGGAACACGATAAGAGAGTCGAGGAAAAAAAAAGAAAATATACCCGCGCGCCACTATATTCTTTGATTGTGTATATGAAAAGTGCTCCAAGTGTATTTACTTGCGGATCAAGACTAATTACAGGAGCCAAACCAGGAAGTCAAATGAACGCGGGAATGTGAGCAGATTTAACGAATTGTTGCGAGCACAAACTGTTCACCAGAACACACAGAGTATAGTTATTTACTGTTTCTTCCTCTGTGCGTGACTCTCTACAAAACTATAGTATTTAGAGAGATACAATGAAAAACACCATTTTCACACTCGCATAGAGAAGAAGACGCGAAAGAATCTTCTCATTATTTCATTGTTTATTGTCGCGAGGTGTCATTCCGTTCTGAACTTGTAGTTCTTCTTCTCTTCATTATTAGAAACCCTTTTCTAATTAGTGTTTCAGTAAAAAATGCTAATTAACACCTACAGATTTTTTTTTAATTGGATTCTTTTCAGTAGTAGAAAAAAATCATAGCTTCTTGATTTTTGGGACAGGAATATGAACTATAAAGATAAGAGAATATTCGTGACGTAAAGCTAATCAAGCGCAAATATTATCTGCCTTCTTATAACATTGGACCAGTAAAATCTGCGGTTACAATGGCTAAACTAATATTGAAATATTGCCGAGCGATTGGGCGTCCAGTAAATTTTTCAATGTCCAATACGAGGCGTGCCTGCTAACAAGATTTATCGTTGGCTCCCATTGAATGCGCAGATTGTTAATGCGAAATCATTTATATTTACCAAGGTGCACGCGGCTACACGCTAACCGTCACGTATCCTTATCATTGAACGAGACTCTCTTTTTTTTCCCCTTTCATATCTTTTATCTGAAAGCTTGATTGGTTTAGCTATTTTTTTTTGTCGTCAAATAATCACTCAAATACTTCGATTAAAGATAAGTCATACTTCTTGTTATTTGCTAGAAATGACAATCAATAAAGCGACAAATACTGATTTATAAATGAAATTTATGAAATTTTTATGTAAATTTAAATATTAATGTTTAATAAATATTGTAATATTGTATATTTTATTTATATTTCATACTCTTTGATCTTATTAATTGGTTTAAAAAAGATTTCTTCGTGTGGAAATATAATTTCTTTTTAGCCTTAGGGACTAAAATGTTTCTTTCTACCCCTAGGGATCAAAACAAATCTTAGGTTCTATAGTATTTTTACTACCTAGTATTTTCACTTCATAGTATTTCTTACCTTTTAGTATTTTTACTCTTTTTCATTTTTTCCTCTCTTGTATTTTTACTCACTGCTATTATTCCCTTTTAGTATTTTTACTCTCCAGTATTTTTGACTTTAGTACTCTTACTCTCAAGTATTCTTACTTTCTGATATTTTTACTAAAGAGAAAAAAATGAAAAGTAAAAATACTAGAGAGTTAGAATACAAAAAAGTAAAAATACAATCTCTAGTATTTTTACTTTTCATTTTTTTTTCTACAGTAAAAATAGCAGAAAGTAAAAATACAAAAAAATAAAAATATTAGACATAATAGAGAGTAAACAATACTGGAGTATAAAAACAATATAGAGTAAAAAATAACAAAGAATAAAAATACTAGAGAGTAAGAATACTAAAGAATAAAAATATTAGAAATACTAGAGAGTACAAAATATTAGAGAATAAAAATACTACAGAGTAATGAACCAAGAGAGTAAAAATACTATAGAGTAAAAATACTAGATAGTAAAAAATACTAGAGAATAAAAATACTGCAGAGTAAAAATGCTAGAAAGTAAAAAATTGTAAAGAATCAAAATACTAGATAGTAAAAAATACTAGATAGTAAAAAATACTAGATAGTAAAAAACACTAGATAGTAAAAAATACTAGAGAGTAAGAAATACTAGAAAGTTAAAAACTAAGGAGTAAAAATACTAAGGAGTAAAAATACTAAAGACTAAAAATACTAAAAAGTAAAAATACTAAAGAGTTAAAATACTAGAGAGTAAAAATACTTGACAGTAAAAAATACTAGATGGTAAAAATACTGTAAGGGAGTAATATTGTAAAAAAAATACTAAAAAATACAGAAATTTTTAGTCTTTATTATTTTTAATCTTTAGTATTTTTCTCTGAATAATTAATACTAGTAAGGAAAATACTAGAAAATAATAATACTAAAAAAAAACAGAAAGTAAAAATACTAAGGGGTAAAAAAATGAATGATAAAAAATACTATAGAGTTAAATTTACTTTTTGTAGAGTAAAAAATACAAAATGAAGAGAGTAAAAATAGAATTTTTTACTTCTCAGTATTTTTACTCTTTAGTATTTTTCTATAAATAATTAATACTAGTGGGAAAAATACTATAGAGTAATAATACTAAAAAGGAAATATACTAGAAAGATTTTTACTACAAGATGTTAAAAATACAAGGTAAAAATACTATTTGCGAAAAATATTAGAGAGTAAAAATACTAAAAAGTAAAAATACAAAAGAATGAAAATACTAAAGAGTAAAAAATTTTATTGTTACTCTTTAGTATTTTTCCTCCCTAATATTATTCTTATACAGTATTTTTACCATCTATTATTTTTTACTCTCTAGTATTTTTTACTCTCTAGTATTTTTACTCTCTAGTATTTTGACTCTTTAAAATTTCTCTCTGTGTAATTAATATTAAAGGGAAAAAATACTGGAGAGTAGTAATACTAAAGAGGAAAAATTAAAGAAAAGTAAAAATACTAAGGAGTAAAAATACTTAAGGATAAAAAATACTAGAGAGTAAAAGTACTAAAAAGTAAAAATACTAAAGAGTAAAAATACTTGCGAGGATAAAATATTAGATGGTAAAAATACTGTATGGGAATAATATAATTGGAGAAGAAAAATACTAAAGAGAAAAAATACAAAATTATTTACTCTCTATTATTTTTACTCTTTAGTATTTTTTGCTGAATAATTAATACTAGTGAGAAAAATACCAGAGAGTAATAAATACTAGAAAGTAAAAATACTGAGGACTAAAAATAATGAAAGGTAAAAATACTAGAGAATTAAAGTAATAAAGATTAAAAATAATAGATAGTAAAAATAATGGAAGATAAAAATACTACAAGGTAAAAATACTATATGGGAAAAATACTAGAGAGTAATAGTATACTAAAAGGGAAAAATTCTAACAAGTAAAAATAATAAGGATTAAAAATACCGAAGGGTAAAAAATATGAGGGAGTAAAAATACTAAAGTGAAAAAATACTAGAGAGGAAAAATACTAGAAAGTAAAAAATACTAAAAAGTAAAAATACTAGAAAGTAAAAATAGTAATGAAAAATTACTGAAAGGTAAAAAAAACATTATTTGTTCTCGTGAGTTTATTTAACTCTTTAGTAATTTTTTTAAACAAGTAGTTAAGTAGTTAACAAACAATTATAAAAATTGGTTAAAATTTAAAAAAATAGTATAAAGTAGTCAACAAATAATGAAAAAAATATCAAATAAAATCAACTGAATGTAACAAAAGTGAAACCAAACGCGCCAAAAACTTGATTTCTGATGCCGCCGTTACATATACTCACTGGGATAACGAGATGGGGCCGGTTTCAATTCACTCTTGACTCGATATTGTCTATACAGAGTATATAACTTGAGATAAATTCTTTTTCAACATTTTAAATCGATGAAAACACACAAACTATTTTTGTGAAAATGAAAAAAATTAAAATATCTCTGGTATTCACATTAATGCAGTTTGTTTGCAACCTGACACATTGAAGAAGAGAGGACATTTAAGAAAAAAACTATTGTCGAGTTGTTTAATATGTCAATTAACGAGATAATTATCGTTTAATTGGGTGTTTAATTGGGTTATAAAGTAATGGAAATCAGAGTTTTAATGAATGGATGCGGGACTTGTCTCTGGAAAATTAATAGTTGTCCTGTGTGTTGAATATGGAAATAAAATGAGTATTTATATATTGTATTTATTTTCAACTTTTTATCAAAATATGGAAAAAAGTATTCTTAGAATTTTCTTTTCTTTCAATTCAATCATCAATCTTGACATATAGCAGGTATTTTTATTATTTGTTATCCTGTCGCACGAAATTCCAATACTGTTTTCTTTTGTTACGGCGCTCATAGAACTGTATAATGAGTCTCATAGGAAATTCTATAAATAATTGTTACGTAATGTTAATAATTATAATTAAAAATAATTTACTAATGATTTTTTTTTGTCTGTTTCAGAATGATCATCAATATCGTCAACGTGGTGAGTGATTGTCAGAAACTATTAGATGAATTTTTAGAACAAATTTTTTTTACTTTCTTTGATGAATTTGAAGGGACAGTGAGTAGAATAATTGTGTATTTATTTTGCATGTTAATATATGTGTCGTGTTCATATTTCAATGTGTTAATGCTTTATATGAATAATAATTGTTTATCGAAAGCGATCTAAAAAAATCGAAAACAATCTAACTAAGGAGCACAAGGCCGCAGTAAAATTCGCGCTCGTGCATTTTGGCCAAAGCGAAACAATTTTCGCTGCGCGTTCGGATAAAAAAAATTCCGCCTGCCCGACATTGGACAGGGAATTGGCAAGAAATCGCTCGCGCGGCATCGCGAGACTTTTATTCTTTATGTTCCGAGTCTCTCTCTCTCTCTTTCTCTTGTGGAGGCATAATTTTTTTGCGCAAAATCATTCGAGTAGCCGGCGTATACATCCGCGACGCCATTTCTGGAAAAGCCGTGCAATTATCTTGCGGGGCAAATCTGAGCGGCAGCTGTGTTCTCCAAGTTTGGCCTTCATTGGTCACTTGCGTGCGGTTTCTCACCGCGAACACCCAAAAGAGAGAAGGCGTTGAGCCGCGCTGCTTTTACGGAATTTGACGTCTTAATTGGAAGTCTCGTTTAGGTTATATACCATTAAGACGAAAACCAAAAAGATGCGCGCTCAGTCTCTCTCTTTTACTTGCTTTTTGGGAGCAAGTAATTGCCATTGAACAGTAAATGATAATTTCTTTGTATCAAAAACCAGGTGAAACGTTTATTTTCTCCGATTGAAGAGAAAATTTGTCCCTTAAATTAATACTTTCGCATGTTACCACAAACCAAATGGAACTTTCTTTCTTTTGTTTTTTTTAAATCCGCTTAATTAGAATGCCAAACAATTACCCACTCTTTTTTTAAGAATAAAATATATTAATTTGTAATAAAAAAGTAGAAAAATAGACAAGGTTTCCATAGGTCAGGGAAATCAGGGAAAATTCAGGGAATATTATTATTGAAAAAAAATTTCGTTACAATTTCAATTATCTTTAAAAATAATAAAATTCATCTCCAAAATTCAATTATTTTCAAAAGTAATAAAATTCTTCACAAAAATTCAATTATGCTTCGAAAATTAAAAAAGAATTCTCGTTAAAATTTTAATTATCTTTAAAAATAATAAAATTCTTCTGCAAAATTTAATTATTTTCAAAAGTAATAAAATTCTTTGCAAAAATCCAATTATGTTTAAAAATTTTAAAAAAATTCCGTTAAAATTTCAATTATCTTTAAAAATAATAAAATTCTTCGCAAAAATTAAATTATGTTCGAAAATTAAAAAAAAAAATTCCGTTAAAATTTCAATTATCTTTTAAAATAATAAAATTCTTCTGAAAAATTCAATTATGTTCAAAAGTAATAAAATTCTTTGCAAAAATTCAATTATATTCGAAAATTAAAAAAAGATTATCGTTAAAATTTCAATTATCTTTAAAAATAATAAAATTCTTCTCTAAAATTAAATTATTATCAAAAATTTTAATAAAATTATTGACAAAATTTCAATTATTTTTAAAGATTTTAATAAAATTATTGTCAAAATTTCAATTATTTTCAAAAATTTTCTTCAATTCAATGATTTTTTATATATCTACCATTTCAATAAAGTTTTTCAAAACTATTTAATTATTAATAAAAAATGTTGATAAAATTCTAAGCAAACATTTAATAATTTTCATAAATAATAAATTTTTTTACTGACAATGAGATTTAATTATTTTCATGCATAATTAAACTCTTCATAGAATTTCAATTATTTTTAAAACAATTTTAATCGAATTCCTCGAAAAACGTAATTATTTTTGAAACTTTAATTAAAATTTGGCGGAAAAATTCATTATGAGAATTCAATTTTAAGAAACATTCATTTATTCAATAAATAATTTATTGAATTCTTTCGAAGAATTTTAATAAAATTGTTATAAATAATTACATTTTTCTAAGAATTTACTTAAAATTGTATTAAAAATAATTGAAATCCAGTGAGAAATTTTTTTATTTATGAAAATAATTGAATTTCTCAAACGAATTTTATTACTTTTTTTTTAATAATTGAATTCTTTTGAGAACTTTATTTATTAAAATAGTAGACTTTGAAAATATTTGAATTTCAGGGAAGAATTTTATTATTTGTGAATTGTAATTGAATTCTTGCAAAAAAATTTTCTGAAAAATTACACTTTTCAAGGAATTTATTTAAAATTTTATTGAAAATAATTGAAATCCTGTGAAGAATTTTATTATTTATGAAAATAATAAATTTCTTGCAACGAATTTTCTTAAAAATTTTTGTAAATATTTGAAATCCTGTAAAGAGTTTTATTCTTTTGAAAAATAATTGGATTCTAACAAAGAATTTTATTACATTTTTGAAAATATTTGAGTTTATGTGCGAAATTTTAATATTTGTAAAAATAATTGAATTTTATAAAAATCTTAATTTCTACGGAATAATACTCGATTCGTAAGCAGAAACTCTAAAAATTAAAAAAATTTTTACTAAAAGTTCTAGCCAATTCTAGACGATTTTTAAAATTCTCCGCCATTTTGAATCCACCATTTTGAATTTCTAAAAACAATTCCCTGACTCAGTTAACAGCTTTTGAATGAAAGCTGTTTTTATTTTAAACATAAAAAGACAAAAGTTGAGTTCTTGAAAAGTTAGTTTTAAATTAATATCTACTTCTTTTTATTCGACAATTTTTTTTTCTTACGGTGAAGAGAATTTTTCTTTTTCGGTAAAATGTTAAAAATATTAGCCATATATATAAAATAAATCATATAAAATGTAATGGTTGGTATGATAAAGTAAGACACCCACTTATTCCTACGCACACGTCAAACGAGTCATCTGCATATCACTGTATTATTTTTGAGGCTTCTTAGAATGTTGAGAATAAATAACGACGTTATATACACTATAATGCGTATGTGTAAGCTCGGTTACAATTTTCGGATTGACGTCTAATCCGACTGATTTCCTTCCACCCACTTTTATGTCATTGAAGACGATAGCATATTCTCAAAGAAAATTATTTAACACAAAGCTGTTTACGTTACATATTTATGTGTAGATTCCAATCAAGGCTTTTATCGTTTTTATGAAAGGAATTAGAAGACGATAATAATAAAACTACCTCATAAGGAAAGATACGAAAGTAAAAAGGGATTTTAAATTGAGTTTAATCAGTTATATCGTGATTTAAATTTTGTTACCATTCGATTGACTATAACTAGGATTAAAAGGATTTGATTTTGGATCAGGTGGTAAATTACTGGTTGGTACCAGTTTTTGATTGGTACCAATTGTTACCACAAGAATTGAGACATTTTATGGCAATTGAAATTGGTGCTTCAGAAGCTTTCACTTGGTACCAGCAGGCTTTACACTCATCTACTAAAATTTATTACTTACTACTTTTTTTACAATTTGATACTATTTGGATACTGTTTCTAAATTTGTGCCACTAAAAGCTACTTTTTCCTTTTTTTTAGAATTTACTCTACTTTAAATCCGCTAATAATTCAAATAAAATAATTATACTGGAAAATTTTAATAAAATTCTTAGAAGCAATTCAAAAACATTTAACAAAATTCTTAGACGTAATTCAAAAATTTTCTTTATATAAAATTCTTTGAAAGGATTCAATTATATAAAAAATATATAATATATTAATATTATATATTATAATATTAATATATATATATATATTTTCTCCGCGAAAATAATAAAATTTTTAAAGAAATTCAATTATTTGAAGTACTATTTTTAAAAAATTTTTTGACAGAAATGAATTATTTTCAAAATTCTTTTACAAAATTCTCCGAAAAGTAATCAATTATTTTAAATAATTTTGATAAAATTTCATTAAAGAATTTAATTACCTTTAATACAATTTTAATTAAATTCCTCGAAACAATTTAGTTATTTTCATAATTTGTAATAAAAAATTCTTCAAAAAAATTCAATTATTTAAAAAATTGTTAATAAAATTTCCTTACAAGTATTCAATTATTTTCATAAATAATAAAATTCTTTGCAGGATTTCAATTATTTTTAATTTGAATATAATTCTAAATGAATTCCTCATGAAATGCAATTATTTCTTCAAAATTTTATTAAAATATTTGAAAAAATTCAATTATTTTTAAAATTTTTGTTAAAATACATTACAAGAATTCAATTTTAAAAAATAATCAATTATTTATTTTTGTGCTTCCCCAAATAAATGAATTCTTATAGATCTTTCAAACAAGAATTGATTTAATTTTGAAAATTATTTTAAAATTTTGAAAATTTAATAAACAAATTTAATAAATAAATAAATTATTAAAATTATTTAATTTTGAAAGAATTGCAGTTGTAATTTTTAGAAATAATTAAATTTCCGAAAGGTTTTACATTGTAATTATTTAAAATATTTATTGCTGTAGAAAAAAAAGTATTTAATTATTTGATTGAAATATGGAAATAATGAAAAAGAATTAGTCTTTTGAAAAATTATATTTAATTGTATTTAATTACAATTTTGGAAAATAATTGAATGCTTTTAGAGAAATTTTATAAAAATTCTACTGAAAATAATTGAATTCATACCAAGAAATTTATTATTTCAGAAATTAATTTAATTTTTATAAAAAATGTTATCATAAATTTTGAGAATTGGATTTTTAGAAAAATGTTACAATTTTTTTAAATAATTCAATTCTTTTGAGAAATTTTTCATTGAAATTGTATACAAAATTATTGATTTCCTGAGAAAAATTTTATTATTTATAAAAAAGTAATTTAATTTTTACCAAGAATTTTACTATTTATAAAAATACTTGAATTTTTTCCAGAATTTTATTATAAATTCGGAAAATGATGAACTTCTTTAGACAAATTTTAAAGAAAGTTCTACAAAAAAATGATTGAATTCATGCGAAGAAATGGTATA